TCGGTGAACTGCCAAGCGCCGATGCGATTAGGTTAGTTGCCAGTTCTTTCAAGTTTTCTCCTGCTGATTCCGCCACCCCTTGGAACCTTAGGATCTTGTTAGATTTCTCCATTTGTAGGTTCAACAGTCTTCTATCGTGAAGATCTTGTCTTTGTTCTAGTAAGCCAACCTTCTTCTTTGTCTTTTTAGCGTCATGTGCCGTTTCTTTAATTTTTTCATCGGTTTGGATTGTTTTTTTCATCAGCTCCGCAATTTGCTGTTGTTGTTTTGCCATATTTTGGTTTGAAGCAGCCATTAATTGGTTAAGACCATCGAGCCTTTCGTTTAGAGGGCGGAGCAGCTCGGTTAATGTGGAGAAAACATCTCCTTCGTTAACTCTCGGACTCTGACCCCCTCGTGTAACTTTCGATCCTCTTCCTCGAGTGCCGGCCATTTTCGCTTTGTTTACACTAAGAAGAACCTTTTTCACTCTCCTTTTACCAAATGCAAACTTTTCCGCAGTTATAGCTAAGTCTTTGACACGCTTGAGCGCTTTGTCTTTTCACCTCCCCCCTTCTTTTTTAAAACACAGTTCGATTTGTTTGCGTCTGGGATCCCTCCCGACGCCGCTTAGGTGGTGGGGGGGTGTAACTCACTTTTAGCGTTTATTCGCTCGGTTTTTCCTCCGGTTCATTGCCGATCTGATCCCAGATCTCTTTTTATTTTCGCTTCATTCGCTGACCTTCTTGCTTGTCCCGGCTGGCGTCAGCTAAGCTCGGTAAAAACCGAGCCTCATAGGGGGAGGACCGAATGGGGCAAAAAGGAGCGCCTCAATTCCCTGGCTTTCTGCCATGGAAGAGGACGCCTCTCACGCGTCCCCGGCTTGGAGCCTCTCAACTGAGGCTCACCTGGGGGTGTCACTTGAGGTGGCACCCCTCCTACACCCCTAGAGAGCGGAATGCCTCCCCAGCTTCAGGGGAGAGCCTTCGCCATCGCCGAGCCACAGACCGGAAGTCCCACCCTTTTTTGCTTTTAACGGGGGGAAAACATACAAGAATGTGTCAGGAATAAAATGAATTCCCCCAAGACAATGGGGAATTACCCCTCGGTCCTTTCCACCTGGTCACTCTGTTCCTTTCTACCAGGTAGGGAGAATCAATTGAGGTCCCTTGCATGTTACTTGTTGTTGTTCAGTCGCACAGTCAAGTCCGACTCTTCGTGACCCCATGTTCCTACCTATCCTGAAATACTGATTCAAAAATACACATATTGACAACCTTGAATGCTCAACTCAGCCCACAAAAAGCAATAACAAAAATGGTAAAATGCGAACTACTGGCAAATCTTAATGGAATACTTACAACAGTGAAAAAGCATAACTAAATGGAGGTGAAGTTATATTTTATTAAGGCATTCTATTCCCACTTAACTTTTTAATTGAAACTATACTAGGCTTTCAGAAGTAAAACATTTGAAAAAGCAACCCGGCAAGTATTAAACTGGTGCCTTCTCCACCTTATTTCCTGCCATTGTCCCTTATAAATTTGTGCTATGGAAAAGAAAACATCCCTTGCTCTTTCCAACAGACTCTCAAATATTTCATGAACCCTGAATCATGAGGTATTTATAGTTTACATGATTTTCTAATATATAACAAGTTTATGCACAGACTAGGAAAGAAGAGGGATGAATACAAAATTGTATTCTGTGATAAAAGAATTACCTTTCCTGAATCATTAACCTATTCCTGTTTCTTGGTATCTCAGGACTGATTCATAGGTGCCCATAGTGCTGTAGTTGCCACTCAAATCAGTTACATGTAGTCACTGTTCCAGTAAACCACAAGAACATTTCAGATGCACTCCAAAGTGTATTGTATGATTTTAAAAAATCATATCTTTCTGAGGGCCAGCATGGGCAATGTTACATGATCCAGCTAATCCTCATGGGAAAATAATTCAAAAATGTTTGCAGTCATGTGAAACACTGAGCAATTATCAGGAACTTCCACATAGCTACAAGAACATAGGAACTGGCCTTTGTAGTTTGGAACAGCACCACAGTACAGTGGAAGTGGTTTCATCCCTGGCATTTTCAGTTAAAATGGGTCTCTGTAGCATGAGTAGTAACGACTGCTTACCAAAGACACTGGAAAGCTGCTGCCAGCCAGAATATTTATTTCTATCATTTATTTATATTAAAGCATTTCTATACTGCCTTTCCATCCAAATAGAAGAACATTAAAACATTAAAGCAGAATTTAAAACAAGGTATATATATAAAATATTTATATACAGTATATATAAAATATTTAAACAATTCAATTATGAGAAGGGAGGTGGGCCAGTAAGAGTTACTGGGGATATGCCAAACAAAATTTAAAAAGCATTCACTGCAATAGAGGGAGACAGACGAATCTCCCTCGTGAGGGAGTTCCAAAGTTTTGGCGCCATGTGTAAAAGGCCATAGAGTTCTGCCCAAAAGCTAGAGTATGACCCCCCGACATCAGCAACACTCATCTAGCATCAGATAGTGGGGTAGATGCCACTAATCTAGCATCAGATAGGGGGCAGGGTTGCCAGCTTGTACCTCTGATCTGTCAGGGGGCTCCCATGTCCTCATTGAGATCTTATGCCATATACACGAAGCATGCACAGTGTGATGACATCACCCGGAAGTCACATCATCATGTTGCTGATGTCGGGGGGGTCATACTCTAGCTTTTGGGCAGAACTCTATGGTTTTTTGCCCTCAAAATAATAGAATTTGCCCAAAAACTAGAGCATCACCCCCTGACATTGGCAACATGATGACGTCACTACCAGGTGATGTCATTGTGTCGGTGACACTGACACAGGAGGGGGCTGTTGGGGGGTGGGACTTCTCCTTCACCAAAATCCTATAGCAGAGGCACCCAAAACGGCATAGAAAGAAAACTGGAGTGGGCAGGTAGGTATAGGGCTGTATAGGGCTATAGTGGTCAATTCCAGAAAAACCAGTATTTGACCAGATGGGCCAATAATCGGACAATATATCAGCATCTTTATACACTCTT